GGTTTTTCTTTTTGTCTTTTAGAAGGTTTTGAATGAATTCTGCTTCATACGAATACAAAAACAAATTTGCCGGTAGGAGTGCACAATTAGTACTCATTGGAATACCGACTGTTTGTTGAAATATCAATCCTCCAAACTCAACAAGTATATTGTCGATCAAACAGTCCAGAAAATTGATAACAGAAACAGTTGTAAACAATTCAAATTTACCAACCTGTTTTACCTTCTCTAAAAAAGAGTTCCATTTCTTTTGTTTAATTTCAACTGGGTTTCCGCCTGTATACACAAAACATTTTTCAAAAAGTAAAAAGCAAAAATACTGAACTCCGAGGAAAATTTGAAACGGATAGTCCCTTAGCAAATGAGAAAATCAAAAGCTCAAAGGAATGGATAACACTCTCATACTCTCATATTTATGACTTTGTACAGGCATTTTCTTATGTAGAAAATGGTGGATTAAACTTGGTTTTATAGCTAGCTAAACCTCTCACTTGTATGACAGTCAGATAAAATTCCATTACATTGACAACGATGTGTGAACAAAACAAACAAACATAATACTAGTAGGTAAAAATGTCAAAAATAGGGGTACAGCAGTCAACATTGTGTTTTAATCTTAATCACTATAAAAACAAGCAAATATGTCAACAAAGATAAACACAAAGGCATATAGACAATGCACATTAGCAAATACGAAAGACAAGAATACAAACATTTCCCATAGCACAATAACAAAATGACAGGATGCACAAGTACCGAGCCACGTCGAATGGATATTGACAAAAATAGACTGAACAATAAAAGTAATAGTTTACAAAGATATATAAAAGAATACTATAACACGCTATTAAGATGATAACGAACGTCAGTACCTAGAATCTATACTTCAAGATCATCGTGTATTATTTGTGAAGTTGATACGGAATATTAATTCAAAGTGATTTTTAATGCAATATGTCCGTTACCTAATTCTCATTAGTATGCTGTTACAAGCTCAACATTTAAGTCTTTCAAGTAATTTGTTTGCAATATACATGATATAACAATAAGAGTAAATGCTCAAGGTAACAATGTTCATTGATAAAATCATTCAGGAATTTTAGTATATTCAAGTTATTAATATCATGTAGCAAATTCTCCTTACATCTGGTATATAACTTTTCTCAATACCAATAGTTTGAGAAATGGCTAAAAGGAGATATTGTAATGCAATCAGCAGTATTTATTGAAAACCTACATTAATCTTCCAACATAAAGCGTTAATAAAGTGGGGATTGCTTGTTTTGACTGTAACATTACCAAAGAAACTGGAAAACTTGCATGCAAGACGTTTCATATTTGTTTTTGATTAATGGAAATCAAACTTAATAAAACATTCAAGGAATCATACACATTCTATTTGTAAGGTCAAATTATCACCCATAGTAAATAACTTGTTTAATCAACACTATGTTTGTTGAATTTCGTACGCATATAATGTGTGAAAAATTAGTCATACAGAAACTTCTCTAATACAAAATAATAAGCATCTGGCAAGGTTCTTTAATTTCCCTTTCAGATATATTGATAATGTCCAGTCACTCAATAACCCACAAGTCAGTGAGTGCTTGTATCTCATATATCAAAGTAAACTGGAGATTAAGTATACTACAACAAAACTAAAAGGTTTTTTTATATCTTGTTTTTTTTACTCGATATAGAAACAGATGAACGACATCCAACTAAACAATAGGAGCGGATGAAATCAAAGATTTTTCAACCTCATATGTCGAAAACAAAGTGACAACGCCATGGTTTCAAAAAAGACGAAAAGATAAGAAAATAATTACGTTACGATCTTTAGATGCCAGAATAGTCGCCGGATCTGTAATGTTGCCGGTTGAGTACTATTCCCGGTCTCGCTGCTTTTGGTATTCATGGAGTTCCCTTCTAACTTTTAGTTTTTTACCTTGATTTGTGAAAATTTGATGATATTTAACATCGGTAAACATGGTGAATTAATGCTTCCTAAATATATAGTAATCTGGATACTTTGTTCAGTAACAAACTTTAGTGTACCGTATTAAAAACCGTATATCAGCGTTGGATTACATTTAAACCTAAATGTTGGTATGCATGAAACGCCTTTAATCAAAGACTGAGTTAATACAGTTTGGAGTTTTTTTTGCATTTTAATTTCAGGAAAATGAAGAAAAAAAAAATAATGAAGCAATCATACCACATATTCTTATTATAATCCACTTATATATAAACGCATTGTCTTAATCAAAGGGAAACACCGTGTGTTAAGAGAGAAATATAGACGAATCAAATTTGGTATATCCAAATGGACTATTCTTGCGAATGTTAAGCTGCTTTTTGTACATTTATGTAAAATGACTTCAAGATCAAGCTTTTATTTCGTTTTCGTTATCTTACTGTTAACAAAAGTACACCCGTAAGTCTTGAAATTATACTTTTCTGTAATGTCTGCTTAACTGGAGCTTGTTTTTGTACATTTACAGGTTGGGATTCATGTTCATAATTCATACATGCCTCTTGTATAAATAACACAAAGATGCAATATGATATATTAAAAAAATGGCATTGATGTACCCTCTAAATTTCTATTTACAACTTTACGTCAACCTCTTATACTTTAACCTTAATTCTAATTCTATTCAATCTTATTTTCATTTTAAACTGAGTGTGGATTCGCATTACGATGGTGCATGCCATACATATCGAGATACCCTTATTCTGGCAGTACACCCGATCTCGATTATTTTTAAATTCACGCAATTCCCTAACTTTTTCTTCACAATTGTAATTTGTCCATTTTACATCGATTTACAAGATTTGAACATTGGTGAACTACTGTCACCTTAATTCCTAGTATCGATTTAAATATTACATTTGTATGTATGGATGTTTAATAAAGCTGGAAATATAAAAGGATAGACCATCATTTTCTACTGATTCGTTATTATATTAATGATTTATCGCGGGGTTCGACTTCTCGTTACCTTGAAAGACCAACGGGCTCAACTGGTTGAGACTACTTTGACGTTGAATTACACTGTATAGAAATTTCCAAAATACAGAAAATAAATAACTGACGATAAATTGATGAATCGACACGATCACCACAATGCACCAGTAGCTCTTCTACTTAACTCTGACTTACGTACAACTGAAAACTGGTTAAAAAGGTATATTGGAAGTGATGTATTTGTTCAGCTATTGTCATCAATATAATGTATATAGCACAATCTTAAATGTGCATGATCAGAGTGTAATTCGACTTTATTATATAACGTTTTACCATCTTGTGAAAGTTGAACAGGTTTTGTTTTTTATTTGTACCAGTGCATTCACACATGTAATGTATAATGAAGTGACCGTTTCCCAGTATAAAATTTCTTTTAGCTGTTTTTGATAAGTTAATTATTTTAGAAGAATGGGTTACATTTTCATCTATGGTCAATAAATTTTCGTATTATGTATTCGTTTATGCCTTCCGAAAGACAAAGCTCTTCCATATATGTAAAGCACAGAGAACACGGCTCAGAAATCATGCTGGATATAAAGCTTGTTCTGGCCGTGGCACTACAACATTGCAATGAGGACAATTGCAGAAATATCTGCACTGGTTGCGTAGACGTTTTAAAGGCTCTACTATGAAAGTAATATAAACACATGTAGGCCACAGCAGTCCACCGATGTTCAAATCTCCTACTTCGATTAGAAAGTGACAAATCAAGGTAACAAACTGAAACCGAGTGAATATCATGAACTCTAAAATGATCAACAAATGGATAAGGCGACAGGGCAAGCATATACTGCTATGACAGCAAATGAGCATCTTTTCACCAGAAAGTCTGCTTCTTATCTTTATCTTTGCAAACTTAAATCCATGTACAACGTGGTGATTTCAGTCTTTACTTTAGATAACGGTATATATGGTTTTGTATGTATAAAGTAAAATAACGAAAATATCGAACTCCGAGGAAAATTCTAAACGGAAAGTCCCTAAGCAAATGGCAAAATCAAAATCTCAAACACATCAAACGAATGGATTACAACTGTCATATTCCTGACTTGGTACAGGCATTTTCTTATGTAGAAAATGGTGGATTAAACCTGGTTTTATAGCTAGCTAAACCTCTAACTTATTAAAACAATATCTGTCAATATCAACACTTTTGATTTGAACTACGAAAAGATTCTACTACGTCAACGGGACACTACTCAAGCGATATTTGAATATTTAAACAATATCGAGAGATCAAATTTCGCTCAACAGTGAGATTGAAATTTATAATCGACTAATCAACTCTCCACCAGAGACTAAATGACGTAGAAGTTTCTAACTATAGGTTACCGTTTCTGACAAATTTGTTATATGTACCACATACCACATATCTGTATATCCATAAATTTCAATTTGTCATATTTTACCCTTCACTATTAAATAATGTTTGATCTGAAACGGTCATTTTGATATGAACAGCTCTTATAAGACTGAGCAATCAATAATTAAGTAGTCAATCAGTCAAACTTTAGACTAATTTACTGCGGTTAATTCAGTACTAATCAGACGATTCGCTTGCAGTTAAATTAGATATTTTCAATCCATGTGTTTGACTTCTCAGTAGTTGTTATTTACCCGTTGACATCAACATTATACTGATTAAATACTACTGAATAGTACTACAATGATTGCAAGAAAAATGTCTGAACGGTACTGAATCTACCAAGATGGTTTAGTTTGACACTTGACTGAAAGCCTGAAAATGACTAATTTTCATATGTTAATCAAAATTACCGTTCAAGACCTCAATTCATTTACTAGTGAGCTTCGTCACGTTCCTGATTTAGCATACGCCGCTCAAAACAATTTGAAATCAGATGAACCATTTTAAATATTACATGACTAAACTGATAATTATTATTTTAAGTCAGTATTAGAAAGCATTTCTAAATGTTGATATACAAACAAATTCATCTTTTACATTCAGGATTTCAACGAAACTTTTCTCATCCGACTCTTATTAGGCCCACACATACAAGGTAAGAAATACTCATTTAGGTCCTATTTATCATGTTTATAAATATTGCAGTACAAAAACATTGACTTTTAGGTCAAATAGTAATAAGAAATCATCTAAATATAAAGGACAGTTTGTTTGCAATGATTTAAAACCTGCTAAATCAAAAGTTATAGGAGAAAATCGAAGGAAGGTATTTGGAAAATAACATTAGATATTTTAAGGTGGAGCATGCTTCTCAATGAAATAGAATGAAAAAATATGGGTAACCGTGCTATTTAATAAGCTACAAGTCGTTAAAAGTGTCCCAATTTTGCATAGATTATTCATGAAAAAAACACCGTTTGTGATTAAACAGAAATCTTTGAGAATTTTTAAATCCAATATGAGAAGATATGTTTTATAATATGCTTTATGTTGTGACGTTTTTGATTTAAATGAACGTATTCTATGTATTACTGGTAAATTATTAAGTCAGGGATTTTTTTACCACAAATTACTTAAAACCTCAATTCTTCTATATATATAATAATTTGGTTTTGAAGTTTGGTTGTGGAAAACTTATTTCAAACGGGATAGCACATCCTCATTTATATGGAGATGTTGTTTACCGTACCTGGAAATTTAGAAACGAGCCTAGTAAACTTATCGATCCTTTATATAAACTTATTCTAAAAGGTTACCAATATAACACTGTAATTTGATCTTTGAATATTATTTTTATTGGTATTAATATTGATTTTGTTATCAGTCAGTTAAAAGCAAACTAAATACTATTGTTATATCCATCTGCACATTCATGGATCTACAATCTGTTGATACCTGTATCTTAGCATTGCACAAGGTCATGTTTTTTACTGACTGTTTATGACGTCTTAACACTGAATCCATTGTTTGTTGGATGTGTACTGAATGATGATTTAGTCTTAGATGCAGGTCTTTTTTTATTAGTTGTTATTGGCTTTGAACTAGTTGTCAGTAACTGCGAGTACTCTCAGATCTGTACTTAGTGTCTTTTTGTTGTTGGGATGAACAAGTACCCGGCCACGTCCGCTCTGTGTTTTTGTTAGATGTATTTCTATTTGTATCCATCTGATGAGTTAAGACTTTTTCAACTGATGTTTATAGTTCGTTCTTATGTTGTACTGTTACACCACTGTCCCAGGTTAGGGGGAGGGTAGGGATCCCGCTGACATGTTTAACCCCGCCACATTCTGTATGTATGTGCCTCTCCTAAGTCAGGAGCCTGTAATTCAATGGTTGTCGTTTGATGCTGTGTTACATATTTGTTTTTCGTTCATTGTTTGTACATAAATAAGGCCGTTATTTTTCTCGTTTGAATTGTTTTACATTAAAATTTTGTCATTTTGGGGCTTTGATAGCTGGCTATGCGGTATGAGCTTTGCCCATTATTGAAGGCCGTACGGTGACCTATAGTTGTTTATTTCTGTGTAATTTGGTCTCTTGTGAAGAATTGTCTCATTGGCAATCATACCACATCTTCTTTTTTATATTTAAAATATAAAAAAGATAAAATGATGTCACCGAACTTGTTTTCTTGCTACAAGTAAAAAATGAACATTTCTTTAACATTCCTTTTGGAAAGAAATACAATAAGAGTTTTCTCCCCTTAAATGACTACGTTGAAAAACTGATTCGAACAAAAAATATATGGTTAAAACGTCTAAATAATGCAATAAATCACTCATTTTTCTATATTCAAAATAAACAGTCTTACAGATTGCAAATCTGTCTCAATATTTGCAGATTTAATCATGAACTAGACTGATTGTGTCTCGCTTTTTTACAATCCAAGATGGCTTTACAAAGTTAATCTAACCTTAAAACATTTTACTTATTGCATCCTTGATATTAAATGACAACTAGGTTGTACGTCAATCAAAACATCTGAAATGATATTGTTGAATGTTAAAAAGGTACAAAATATAGTCATATTGGAAATTTTGTCACCGGTTACCTTCATATAGTTTAAATCATAATTTTGTTCAACTTTGTGTTTAACAATGTTTAAGACAAGGATTATCGCTAACCTTTTTTAGCATTTAATGAAAAATGTGAATTGATTTAATTCTTCTTATTCAATATACACATTTGAATCACCCGCAATGCAAATCCAATCGCAGTTAATATGTCACTATCAAACAATTTTTTATTGAATCTCCTTCTGTCTTGCTATTACAAAGATAGTTTTTATTCTTCTTTTTTCTGTCAATGACCTGTCAAACAAATCTAAAAGGGTAGTTGTATGTATTTTTACAACAAAGAGGAAGTCTTCCTTCTAAAACTGGTGGGTTCATCACTAGTTTTAAATGGGCAGCCTGAATTTTTCCTAAAGGGGATTGATATGAAGTAATCTATCGATAGACAGGTCTCTAAGTCCAAAAATATTTTTTTAAAAAGGCTTAAGGCAGCGACTGAGACCATTCTCGATTAAATTTATGAAAATGAATCCAGTATGATAGCATTTAGAACTACCCCAAAACAGTGTTCTATTGGTGTCAACATATTTAACCATTTGACTAACAGTTCATCTTATGATACAAATTGGTATCATGAAGCAAATGAAAAAAAAACAATTAAAGACAATATCTGTAGAAGTGTCATCCCAAGCTAAAAACTTGAACCCAATCGTCAATGAAATTACTATTTTCAATAACACCAGAATAATATCTACGATCTCTCTTGAAGAAAAAAAAAAAACTTTGCAGGGCTCTTAAGACTCGTTAACAAAATATCAATAAATGATGAAAACCACAGACAAAAGGGTGACACTGTTAATAAAACTGAACTCCAGTTGTGCAATATTACTATAAAAATATCGGAACATGACATATGCAGCAATTTGACCCCATAAAAAATTCCTCGTATTTTACATTTTACTGACACTTTAATTGTTCCATCCCTTAAAGATTTTAATTATTTCAAATGTAAGTTCGCCAACATTAAGAACAGTAAGATTAAAGCCATGAACAAATTTCAAATAGCACAACACATTTGATGTTTGGAGGATCTTTAAAGTTTTGAAAGCAGATTTGTTTAAGCCACCATCTGAACATACCTAATAATAGAAAAAAAGCAAAGTAAAAATCAATCATTCAAAGATGGTATCGAGACTAACAACAGTTATTTCAAAATAAAACATGATCTACATTTGTCCAAAACACAGTGTGTAAAGAAGATGCTTGTTCTAAAAATGTCCCAAGTCAGAACAAAGCAACAACCACAGACAAAATAACTGGAACTTTCAATTGCTTAGTTAAGAAAACTATTTAAAATTTATATATTATATTCATGTTTTATTTTGAAATAGTTGTTTTTAATCCAGTCATCAGTATCAACTTTAAATGATTGATTTTAACTTTGCTTTTTTACCATGATAATTAAGTTATTAGAAGGATAAGCGACTAAAGAAAAACTCAATTAGTTGTAAATTAGAAATAAATGACTATTCAAACCCGTACGGACTCGAATTTTCATACAAATTATGCTCTTAACGAAAACAAAACGGTTGAGTGAAGTCTATGGAAACATTAAATGAAGGCAATAATACATTTTCTTTTATTCTATCTTTCTTAATTTTATTGGTCAGTCATTTGTAGTGGTGAGGTCTGGATAAATCTATTATTTCGACTTTTTAAGTTTGATCCTGGAAACCTGTAACAACTTGCCAACTTTTGAAAAAGAAAGAAAATGCTCGTGATTACATCCATAAAGTGTCAAATGTTGCCGATTACCAATTAGAGATGACCATGATATTGACGAACGAACTTATCTCGACGAACGAACGCAATGGGAGCGGTAATTGTATGTTTACAAACGTACTTAAAACGTTAAAGATGTTACCATGTTTAAAGTGTATTTGGATGCAATCACGTTAATAGATAGAAACGCATAAAAATAAAGCGATTTAAAAAAAAGATTTTCATAATATAAATGAAACACGTTTACAAGTTTCCGAAAGTGTAACATATCATACGATACAATGTGATTGTTTGTTATTTTTGATAGCACGACGGAATGTACTTCACACATAGGATTATTCGAGTGCAACGACAACATTTGCAATGTTAAAACAAATACGAAAGCAAAACTTTGATGATTTGATATAATTTACAAATTATTGTTGTCCGATTGTATGTTTGCTCTGTGTTTTTATTGGGTATTCAAGTTTCAGAAAAAAAATCTATCAGATTATGATAAAAAAGAAAACCTATAGCGTTTTGTACCAATGAAAACAAAAATTATTTCTGTTGCAAACAATTTTTTATCATACCTGTCATCCTCTGACGATAAAAAAAACCCGTTTTAGTGTAAAAAAAAAATTGTCAAAAGAGAAAATAAAGTATTTTTAAGGGAATTAAAAAACTATACTAAAGGCCTTAGTGATCCATTAATGACGCATACGAAGACATTAAATATATTTTTAAAGCCTTACAACTATTAAGATGAAGAAAAAATATATGTCAAAATGACCACAGGCGCTTGTAGGGTAGAATACCCTTTTAAGTGTTTAATTTTTATTAATCATTCTTGATTAAAATATTAAATTTTCTATGTTTATACCACTTATCTGTCACTACTGCGTATGTCTCACCTAGTTTCGAGTGAATTTACCACCTCTGTTACAACCCCTTATTTTACTATCCATACTTAAAACAACATTTTAGTATGGATATCAAACCATGTCAGAGGAGATGCAATGAGTAAGTGCATAGTGAATAGGATGCAATGAGTAAGTCCATAGTGGATAGGATGCAATGAGTAAGTTCATAGTGGATAGGATTACAATTTATAGAGTCCAAACACCTGCTCCTTCCGGAAAATTTATGGACCGCAACATACTTTGTCTGATATGGTTTGTTTGATAAATATGCAAAATTTTGCGTAGATCGTTGAAGTACGTTTCGCTGAGTTGAGTATTTAAACTATCATTGATTTAAAAAAAATAATTTGAAAGCAAGTAATATGATTGATAAGAATATCATTTAGATGATTGTACGT